ACTCCGAAGAAAAAAAAAAATCTGGGAAATTTATAAGCCCAGTCAACTGGGAAGGAAATTGAAGAGAATTAGTTTATTATTATTATAAACTTACTTTTCTGTCAAGCTAACTATTGCAAAAGGTTGTTTATACTGTTAGTGACTATTTCCTCAAATAAAACCCAAACAAAATAACCTGTTGTGTTACAATTACATTGCAGGTTATAACTAGAAGTTGAAAGTACATGTGTAGTGATTTTATTTATTGGGTGGTTTTCACACGATCTCTTTTGGTTTGTAACTGTGTTTCCCTGATCAAGGTAAGTACAGAATCTCAACGCAAGCCTTAACCCCTTGTTTTGATTCTAGTTGTGTAGAATTCAGAACATACCAAAGATAAAGCAGATAAAATAGGTATAAAAATGCCAGTTCATCTTAAGAATAGTGCTTTTTGCTTTCAGTTTGTTGATATCTGGAAACAGCAAAGTCTTGAATACACATGATGAATATATTTAAATTATTCAGAACAAAATAACTGGGTATTTGCTGATATTTAATTCTGTCAAGTTGTCACTGTTAGACAAAATAATTTTCAACATAATCTTCTACACCAATCTGCCTACTGTTTTTTTGTTTAATTTCCTTTTTTAATGTTAATCAAGTACAGTGATTTTAAATATTTCAGTTAGTAGTGAAGCATGTGTGTCTTTGTCGTGTAAAATACTGGAGAGCTTCCATGTCTGGTTTACCTAGTCTAAAAGAGAAACTACAGCTACTTCCTTTTTCTAAAAAGTTGTACAGCTTTGGAGGGACATAAGGGAAGGGAAGAGGAAGTTGGGCTTACTACAGGAGTGGGAAGAGCTTAGGAAACTTCATGTGAAGGACCAGTAGTAAGCCATGATGTTAAGAAACTGAAAGACTGTGAGAACGCTTTTTTCTGCGGCATGCCAGACAATTTCTAGCATACTCTGTTTCCTCTACTTACCATTTTGCCTGATACGGTATGGGTGATGAGGTTGTAGGTTATGATGGTGTGATTACAAGAAAACAGCAAAGATGCTTTTTATGTTGCCAGCCAAAAATTCTCCATTCTACCAATGTGAACTTAACTGCAGCATCTTTCTGTGGTGACTTTTCAGAGCCTAAGATACTTAGGAGGCTCATCTGTTTGGGCAAAGTAACCCTTTAACCTGATGTACAGTGTTGAAATTGCGATATAATGAGATCATCTTATTTTCATTGAATAAACAAAGTTGGTTTACTTTCTTAAGCACTAGAAATTCACTCCGTGTCTGTAACAAAAATGGTGTAAAAGTTACTCTATACTTTGTCAAAGCTTAGGTTTTTTAAAAATGATATATATCAAGTCCTGCATATGAACCAGCCGAAGAGGAAGTTCTTTGAAAATACTTGACATTAAGATGGGTGTATGACACTAAACCATACTGAATCACAAGACTTTTTTTAACTACAAATGTCTCCATTCTGGGTTTATTGGAAATATGCAAATAGGTATCTCTTCCTTACTAGATGAAACTTCTTGAAATTTTGTTACAACTGAGCAGTGTTTAAAGTTTCTTCTGCTTCCATCTAAGAGCTTTATAATTGGAATAGTAAATCAAGGGAGAGAAGAAGGGGAGTGGCACTGAAATCCTGACAGATGTGGAGGTAACAAGGTGGCTTGCCAGTGTACACTTGGTGGCCTTCACAGCTGAGTCTGCCCTTACACTTGGTGCTCTTCACAGCTGAATCTGTCCTTCCATCTGCTTATACTTGTGAAGAACTGCAGTCTCACGTGATTGCTCTGAACACTTACTGGTCCACAATAAGTTTCTTGGCAGCTATGTGTGGAAAGTATACTTCTCTTCTAGTCCCACACAGTTTTGCCTTGTTCCCTCACCAGGTGCTTTTCATTTTAGATTTTACTGTGAACTTTATATTGTCAGACTTCTTGACCTCCTGCGCTGTGAGCGCAGAAGTCCACACGTTTGAGTTTCTGTCTAAGGCAGGACAAGGAGGGGCCAAGACACTAGTCTGCTGTTGAGGAGCAACAAGGAGAGAGAAGACAGCCCACTGCAGCTGGTGCATTGGCTATAGACCAGGCATGCTACTCCAGTGGGCTCAGTAAAGCTAGGAAGACAGGTAGGAGCCACGTGTACGGGTCTCACACAGAATGCTAAGTGCCATTCTCCATTTTAGCAGTGTCCATAAACTTTTAGCCTTATAAAGCCTTTTCTTCTGATTAAATGCTCTGGAATTACTTGCTTTCTACAACTACCTTTTCCGAAATAGGACAAGAGGCAATGGCCCCAAGTTGTGCCAGGGAAGGTTTAGATTGGATATTAGGAAAAATTTCTTCATCAAAAGGGTTATCAAGCCCTGGAACAGGGGAGTGGTGGAGTCACCGTTGCTGGAGGTATTTAAAAGACGTGTAGATGTGGTGCTTAGGGATATGGTTTAGTGGTGGCCTTGGCAGTGTTACGTTTACAGTTGGACTTGATGATCTTAAGGGTCTTTTCCAACCTAAATGTTTATACAGTTCTATGACTAGCTGTCTCTACTTAGAAAAATATGAGAATACTTTTCCTGGTGCAGCTACTAGTTGGTGCTTGCAGTACACTTTCCCTTCTGAGACAAACAAGTCCCAAAATACTGACACTAAAGACATGCTGCTGGTATCTCTTTGCTGTATTTTCTATCTTGAGTTGATAAAAGAATGATTCTGTTTGTGGTTAATGTGTTCAGACACGTGTCAAGATTTGTCATACATTCAGGGAGATGTAGATTTTCCTATCACCGCTTGCTTTGTTTTGTTCTTGTGACTTTTTGAACCTGTTCAAGATTTAGGGTGCCCTGAAAACAATAGACCTTAACAAAGGACTGTAGGTGATAAGAGTGGCAGAAGATCAGTAGCTGGGAGGGAAATCTGGAAGAAGTGAGGGGATGGTGGTGTGACATTGGACAAAGTATTCTGAGCTGGAGCGCCCTTTCCCTGCCTGGTTACACCTGTGCAGCCAGTGATGCAAAATCCCTGGGACCAAAGAGGGGGCCTGGCTCCATAGCCTAAAGATATGAGGTGGGAGGAGGGAAGATAATTTGTAGGTTCTAATGCTGCTTGTGCATTTTGTGTCTAAGAAATCATCTGATTAAAAGTATACATAATATTTGCAACCTGGTTCAGTAATTGTTCCTCCCCAAAAAGTGACCTTCCTGTAGCCCTGCAATCTACATTTTCTTGAGTGAGGAGCCTATCTACATAACTCTCTTAGCTTCTGAGAGACGCTAAGATATGCTAAGTAGATATCTCAAACACTACGTACCAAAAGTAGATGAATTGTAGGAGCAATATGAATTTTCCTCCACTTATTCTTTGGCGATTATAGTTCTATTTTAGTTTCCAGTTGATGTGCACAAGTTTTGGTCATGGGCTTACAGTCATCTGGAACAGTTTCGCTAGAGCTGAGGAAAGAATTTCTGAGGTCATGAAGAAGCTTCTGTTCCAGAGCCCTGTCATTCCTGGAGTCCAGTCAGGACCATTCTTTGAATACAGAATTTTTCTTTAAGGCAGCCTTCACTATGATGCCACAGATTATGGCCACCTTCTCATCCCATCCCATTTACCTCCTTCCTCATAGCACAAAAAGATTGAAGGGGTTAGGGCAGTTTAAAACTGTTCTTTCTCATTTTAGAATGGTAGCCTTTGTTTGGTGTTACATCCAACCCTGAGAGCAGTCATAAAATGAAAGCAAAATAAAATGAAAATCAGTGTTTCCCAAAGCAGAATGTATTTTTGCTAAAAGTCTCGTTATCTCACTGGGTAATCCACAATAACCTTGTAAATAGTCTGAAAAATAGCCCCCTCCCAAAGAACGTTGCATTTTCCTATACTGTCTCCCTTTGTATATGATATGCAGCAATGCATTTGGTAGGTTTATACAAATGCCAGTGAGACAAAATAAATATCCCCAAATAAATAGCCCAGATGTGGAGTTTCTACATTGCTTCTAGCATAATTGCATTGTTTGGGTATGTTTACAGATGTTTTGGGGTTCGTATCTCTTCCTGTTCATTTCATTCTGTTGTCATAGCATAAATCTTGTGGCATAACAGACGATAAATGGTGACGAATGCTGAAATGTGGCATAAAGCAGAATGGCAGACTGGGAAT